TCCTGCCAAAATTACTTATCAGATCAAAATTTGCTAAAGGAAAAAGTTGTTCCTTTTAGCACAAAGTATCACGTCCTGTACTCCGAATGCGCCAATTTTGGGACACCCTGTATATATGTTGGGAGAACATATCACGGTATTTTAACAATTTGACTGTATACGAGGATATACATATATATATATTTACGAGAATCTGTCGTATATATGACGGTATTTTAACGGAAAATAAATTGCGTAAATGCGAATAATTAAGACTAGCTAAGAGAAAATTTATTCCGCCGGAAATTGTAAAATTCTATTTACTTACGACGAAGTTGTTAATAATCGATTCGGTATGATACACACATATATACGTGTGTATATATATATATATATATATATATATATATATATATTGATCCGGAAATGAAATGAAACGGCCGTGATCGTTATACCAAACACAGAGAATTTCGAGACATTGTGGACCGTTTCTTCATTTGGCACCAGTAGAGTCTTTAAAGCAACTGCAGTTAACATCGGTACGATTTCGCCGAGTTTATTTAGACATCAAACGCGCGATGTTCGAACACAATGCAGTGGCGGTTGGAAATCGTACTCGGCGAAGTGACACCGGTAATTAAGCTATGCTTTGAAACACGGTCGATGATCAACACAAGGGCCGGTGGTATCGTTCCGACGGACCAACGCTTTGGAAATTGCGATTTCTCGCGATGTCGGAAGGAAAAATGATTGTAATATCGAGAGACACGAACGACGATCGGGAAACGTTCGAGCATTTATGTGATTTTTTAGCGGCACGTGGTATATCTTGTTATTATTTAAAAATTCGTTTTCTTTTTTTTTTATCGTTGGACAAATTGCAGAAATTGTTTTATATATACGTAATGTTCGTGGCAGAACGTTTTGAGAGGGAAAGAAAAAAGAAAAGGAATTGACGATAATTTTCGAAAGTTCCAAATCAGGCGTGATGAACTTTGGTGGTCTCAGCTACAGTTCGACGGGTTCTTCGAGCAGAGAGGGCGAGAGAAATACTTCTCAATTATTTACAATTCAGTTTACATCGGTCGGAAATGCGCTCCGAAATCATTTACATTGTCGTCGTCGTCACATTCCAAAGCGTGCACGTTTGTCGAAAGTGAACTGCGGAGCCACGTATGAACTGTAGTTTTATCGTCCCAATTTATCATCACACAAAGCACACATAAAAATATATATATATATATAAATAATTATATAATTGTGTAATTATAACTATATAATTATATATGTATTTTAATAAAATATATATACATATACAAATAATTATATATGCTCCGTAATTATATAGTTATAATCATGTAATTATGTAGCTATATATAAAAATGTATTTTATATATATGACGAGAAATTTTCCGAATAATTACATGAGCACTTTATAAATACGCGTGAAATACACGTAAATGAGCTGAAAGGAAGGAAGGGATGTAGCACGAGATAAAGATTTTATAGCATCTACAATTTCATTAGTTTGCGAATGTATATAGTAGTCTTAACGAAAACAATATAATTTTTATCTATTTTTAAGTGTATAATTTTCACTGTCAAAGGGTGCCTTCTTCGTGAAATTTTTCCGGCGATATTATATCATGTATAATAATAAATAGGCGACGGAAAAGGCCTGAGGGAAAATCTCATAGTAAATTCCCCAAAAAGATTGTTTCGGTCCTCTTTGCAGAATCGAATTTTTCTATCATATAACAGTCGCGTAAAGATTCATCAATGCATATCTGTTAATAGATAATCGTAGCGTATCTCGAAATTGCGATTTTTCATCGCGCGACGAAGCCAACGGAAGGGGACTGGAATAAATTATTATCGAACAGCTTTTCTTACATTATATGTGTACAATTTAATTCATAGTTTGTGATAATAAATATTGTAATTATTATAGTAAATTCTTTGCGTAGTCTCTCTTCATTTTCTACATAAAAAAATTCCCAATACCCGCACCGATGGCAAGTAAAAAAAATAACGACTTATCCGTTTTGCCAAAATGATATATCGTGATGTAATTATTTGCAGAAACAGCGTATGATATTTTAGAAGACAATTTATAAGATTTGGAGAAATTGCATATGGCATACTTGCAGTCGATAAACATCTTGTGGTTTCATATCTCGATTACCAGGTGACACTCGGTGTATTAAAATTAAACCATATTTGCGATAGCATCGTGTGCTAATGTAACTTACATTATGTATAATCAGGGCTGAACAAAGTACATTATTAAAGTATTTAAAATACAAAATATACAAAATACTGGCTGCAATCTTAGTATTTGAATTACAAAATACAAAATACTTTCAATCTTTCGATATAAAATACAAAATACAAAACACTTTTCAGATTTTATTTGAAATACAAAATACTTTTTAATTTAATCTTTCAATTACAATAATATATAATGTTAAGCTCCCCTCTCCAACAGTCCCCACTTTTAGAGAGAGAAAGAAAAGTTGTTTTACTCTCTTACACTCTTTAACAATCCTATTGTCCGGTAAGTATCAACCGTACGAGAAATCTATTCTATGTGAGATTATGAAATTTGATTCTGATGACTTGATATTGCTTGAAACTTGATGAAAATAATTAGTGTCGCTAATTGTCATATGAAAAAAATTTAAGTTACTATTAATTGTTGTCAAGAATTTTTATCAATAATTTCAAATACACAATAGATTGAAATTGTATTTGAAATACAAAATACAAATTGTATTTCAAATACTGCAAGTATTTCAAATTCAAATATTTGAAATATATGATGTATATATATATACCTATATATATATATATATATATATATATGTATATATATTTTGCATACTCATTATTATAGTATTTCACATATATACATACATACATATATGTATAACATGACCGACATGTTCAAATGACAAATTTTTGTGATGAACGTAATATACTATAACAGCCTCGCGAAGTGTTAAACTCAGATGTTGATGAAACTTAATACATTTTTAGATTACATAAATAGATGAATTTAGAAAATATCTGTTGGTGCTATAAACGATTTAAAGGGGTGAAAGCATCCTTTAATGTATAGCAATTTCTAAATTTTTTCGTTACACCTCCAAAACTATTCAAGATATCAAAAAATGTTTTATACAAAAGTTTTACCGTAAAATTACGGTATTCCTCTAATCATTTACGTTAATATTTTTAAAAAATTAATTATTTTCAAAAATTTTTTATAAAATAATTATTTAGAAAAAATTATTAACGTAAATGAATAGAGACAATTTTACTGTAAAACTCGTATAAAACATTTCTTAATATCTTGAATAGTTTTTAAATATATAACAAAAAATAAAAATTGCTTTACATATAAGGCGTGATTTCACCCTTTTAAACCGTTTTTTAACACCAACATTCTTTAAATTCATCTATTTATGTAATCTAAAGGTGTACCAAGTTTCATTAAAATCAGAATTTAACACTTCACGAGATTTTTATGTAAACTAATATTGAGATTACACATATATTACATATATATTATACTTTTTTGTTTTCTAGACTTGCACATATTATATAATTTTTTTCCTTAAAATAAAATGTTTGTCAAAATCTTTCTTTTTTTATTTCCAGGAAGCCAATAAATTTTTCATTGTCACGATTCGAATCGTTGCGGATAGTATTATTATTCGGTGCTTTCAAAAGACGCATAATATCGCGCACATTTTTGTACAAAAGAACAATTTTCCAAGAGTGGCATTTAAAATATTATATTCGCGCGTTTCCACGTTGCTCTGAAAAAAAAAAAAAAAAATACAGAATAGCTCTTCCTTAATCTTCGTTAAGTCCTGTATGCGTTGCTGCCATTGTTCTAAGTAGTTGGGACATTCGAAATGACTGAGCTGGCGTCATACTCAACGCGTTAGAACCATTTAGCTACGCGACGAGGAAATTGTGACGAGAGCACCTCCGGATGGCGGAAGAGGAGTGTACCGGGCGCGCATATGGAACACGTGCAGTCGTAATATGTAATGAGGATATGCCGGAACACGTTCGTCCTCGCGGGAACGTGTTGACATGCCGTACCGAGGCTTTCCTTTCATGCGAATCACGCAGCAAGGATTGTAGCTCCAATTTTAATATTTCAATGTCAATAAAAATTTCCATTATTGATAAAGGAATATATAATATTATATATTGCTTAATGGGCCACTCCTGAGGCCTCAAAATGATATCTAAGTTTGGGATTTTTTTGTGAGTAAATAGATAGATAAATTTATTTAAAAGCTGTTTAGAGGACATTATTATACATATATAAGAAACTAAAAATAATATTTTTTCATTTTTTTTTTAGTTTTTTATATAATGTATAAAATGGCGGCGCACTGGCTTATTTGCGGAATCCATTTCTTTCTTTTTTTCCAAATCGGTGTACACAGATGAATCTTGAACAAAACACAAATAATTTTCATTATCTACGTATTAAAGACTATAGAAGTACGTAGGGGTTTTTTAAAATATTGATTTTTCTCGAAATGGCAGCTATTTTTACGAAAAGCTCGTATTTTTATCAATACAAGTCTTTCGTA